AGAGATCTGAGAAATATCAGCATAGAGATGGTAAGTAAATGCATGGGAGCTGCTGAGATCATCAAGTGAAGCAATATAGACGGAGAGGAAAAGAGAAGAGGGCACAGGACAGAATCCTGAGGGATGCTTATGGTTAGTGGATGTGATCTAGAAGAACATTCAGTAAAGGAGTTAGAGGATAGGTCAGATAGGGAGAAAGAGAACTAGGAGAGGGTGGTGTCCTGAAAACCTACAGAGAAGAGAATTTCAAGGAAGACAGAGTGATCAATAGTATAAAAGGCCGTGGAGAGGTCAAGGAGAATGAGAAATGAGAAAAGGACACTGGACTTGGCAACTAAGAGATCCTGAGTAACTTTGGAGAGAGTAGTTTCAATGGAATAAGGTTAGAAGCCAGATTGTAAGGGGTCAAGAAGAAAGTGAGAGAAAAGAAAATAGAGACATTTATTGTAGATGGCCTTTTCTAGAAATTTAGCTACAAAGGGCAAGAGAAAGCTGCGATGATAGTGGGGAAGGAAGCATCAAGTGAGGGGTTTTTTTTTTCAGAATGGGGGAGACATGGACATGTTTGTAGGCAGTAGAAAATAAGACAGTAGAGATGGAGAAAGTGGGTATAAGTAAAAGAATGGGGATGAGAGGGAGGCCATCTATTGGAGGAGATGGGATGGAAGGAGAATGCTCAAAAAAGAAGAGAGGGATCATCATGTGAGAGGGGGATAAAAGAAGAGAGAGTAGCAGAAGGCACCTGAGTGAAAAGAGAAGAGGAAGAGGGGAAAAAAGGGAGTTCATGGTGAATGGCCTCCATTCTCAGCTGAGAAAGTCAGGGTAAGGGGAGCCACAGGGGGCTTGAGAAGGAAAGAAAATATTTGGAAGAGACATCGTAGAGAGTGGGATAGTGAGTTAAGGGAAGTATGGTAGGATTATAAAATAGCACTGAGGGCCCAGTTGAGGGTGTACAACATACATCTATAGTGGACCCAGTCAGAACAGTTACATAATTTTCTCCACCTTCATCCAGCAGCACATGCACAGGCACAACGACAGTGAATGGTGGAAGTGGTCCAATCTCTGACATGATAAGGGGACTAGGGATTCAAGAAAGGACTATGTAGAGTGGAATTGGTTCACCAAGGAGTGAAGATGGGGAGAAGAGGAGAGAGTGACTAGTTCAGAGGAGATGGCCTGGGAAAGAACTGAGGGGGTCAAAGGACAGGAGCTCATGGTGAGGATGAAGAGTAAGGTTATGGAAGGGAAGGGAGAGGGAGAGGTAAAAAGCCAATAAATTACGATCAAACAAGGGGATTTCAGAATTCTTGAACATGAAAGCAGTACCTTTGTGGGTGGTGGCAAGATCAAGGGTATGACTGTCTTTGTGTGTGGTTGAAGTGAAGTGGAGGAGTAGCTCATGGGAGGTAAACAGATTATGGAACTAAGTAGTTAGGGTATTTGAGGAAGAATCAATATACATGCTGAAGTCCCTGAGTGTGAAGGCAGGAGTTGGGAAAGAGAGAAAAACTGTAAGCTTCAAACTCACTGAGGAAAGAAGGAGAATGTATGCAGACATATAGCTACCAGGATTTTGATTGGGTAGCATATATGAATAGTATGAACCTCAAAGGAAGAGAGGTTACTGAGTGAAGGAAGAAGGGAGAGTACATAGACGTGACAGTAGGAAGCACGAAGTATTCCAATTCCCCCACCTCAATTAGTGAGCACAGGACAACGAGTGAAGGTGCAGCCAGTACTGGAAAGGGTAACCAGGGAGACTTCGTCAACAAGGCAAAGCCATGTTTCAGAAAAGCAAGTAGGTGTGTGAGAAGAAAAAAATTAAAATGAAAGGAAGTTTGCTGCCTATTGGAACTGGCATTCCAGAGGGCACAATAGAAGGGGGGTTAGGTAGAATTATGATGAAATTTGGGGATGAGAGGATTGAGGGGGATGGAAATGAGGAATCAGGTGGTAGGCGGTAAGGAATGTGGAGTTCAGGGTCACTGGGATGTGGTGGATATGACCAGGTATAAGAATGTTGAGTGGAAGGCCCCACTCTTCTTGTACCCTCAAAAGACAAGCAGAGAGGCCTGAAATCAAAGGAAGACTTGCTCTTTTTTGCACAGAAAGTTCTCTACGTCCCAGTTAGGAGATTAGTCTGGCAGAAGGTGGTGAGATGCCTCATGCTGGTTCAAATGGAAGTGGTTGCTCTGGAGTATATGGAAAATGCCCAGCTTGGCCCCAAGCAGCTTTTCCTCAGAGACACACTGTGCTGAGCAGGAAATGGAAGGCTCAGGTCACTAACACACCCACAGTCTGAGGTCTTCTCGCCTGAGGATGTCCATATTAAGGCTCTGAAGGGACATTTGTTTCTTTCTTCTCCCCCTATTAAAACGTTAGCATTGCAACTAGTGCAGTGGACACAGCACAAGAGTCAAGAAAATTCAAACAAATTCTGCCTCAGACACATGTACGAATTCTGCCTCAGACGAGAACTAGCAGTGTGACCCTAGGAAAGTCACATAACCTTTCTTAGCATGAGCTTCCTCATCTGTAAAATGAGAATAATAGCACCTACTTCATAAGGTTGTTGTGAGGACAAGATGACATAATATATGTAAAGTACTTTGCTAACCTTAAAGAGTTATATAAATGTTAGCTATTATTATTATCATCATTGTACTTCCAACTGCTCATATAAATTTGCCTTTCTAGGACTTTTCTGTATTCCTGTGTTTGTATTTATATTCCTACTCCACTATGGTTTTTTCATCAGAAATGTCTTAAATAACCCTACTCTGTTAAGGGTCTACTTTTTTCCTCTGTAAAATTATGTTTAGCAGGGCAGCCAGGTGGCACAGTTAATAGACCTCTGGCCTTGGAGTCAGCAGGACCTGAGTTCAAATCCAGCCTCAGACACTTAACACTTACTAGTTGTGTGACCTTGGGCAAGTCACTTAACCCTCAGCAAAAGAAAAGGAAAAGAAAAAGAAAAATTATGTTTAGCTTTGCTGGACAAGTTATTTTTGGTTATAAGCTTCTATCATTTGCCTTTTGATATATTGTATTTAAGAGTTCCTCTTCTGTTGGTAGAAGTTATGAGGTCTATGTGGTCCAGACTGTTGTTCTTGATACCTGAATTGCTTCTTTATAGATGCTTGCGATCTTTTTTTCTTTGCAGTGAAAGCTCTGGATTTTGACTAAGACATTCCTAGAACTTTTCCTTTTGGGGTTTATTTCTAGAAACAATTGGTAGATTTTTTTTCTACCCTTATTTTGACCTCTGGTTCTAATAAATATGGGCAATTTTTATTTGTAATTTCTTTAAATATAGTGTCAATAAGCCAACAAGAATTCAGTAAGTATTTACTATGTGCAGGCACTATGTTAAGTCCTGGGGATACAAAGAAAGGCAAAAACCAGAGGTTTTTTTGTTTTTGAATCATGGTTTTCACAGAGTCCAGTGATTCTTAAATCATTTCTCCTTGCCCTGTTTTCCAGGTCACTTATTTCTGACAGCATATAACTTCTATCTCCTTCTATCTTTTCAGTCTTTAACTTTTATTCTAGTATTTCTTGCTGTCCCATGGAGTCGTTGATTTGTTTGGTATTTAGTCTCCTTTTCATTCTTTCTTTGTGCTTCATCTCTTGATTCATTTCTTCTAGATATTCATGTAATCCTTGAAGAAAATCCCACTTTTTCCCTTTGAGTCGCTGCTTGTGGTTGTTACAGAATTACTACTTCTTTGGGGGAGACCTACAGATCTAAAATATTTTTATGCTGGTTGGTGGTTTCTTTGATTTATTCATTTCTCCACATTTATTTCCTGAATTAGGACTCTAAATCAGGTTCACTGCTTAGTCTCACCCTTAAAAACCCTTGAGTTTCTACAAAAGTCTTCACCTCCCAACCTCCTACCGACCACCCAACTCAATCCTATCTAATCCTCCTGGATCTTTGAAATTCAGAACACTGGGGCTTCAGGGCTCTCCATAGTGTATCTCAGGACAGAGTGCTCAGCTCCTAAGAGCCCTAAGCCTAGAGCTTAAGCTCGGCCCTTTGACTGAATCCAAACTTCACAGAACAAATCCCCTTAACAAAAGGATTTGTTCTATAAAACTTGGACTCGGTCAAAAGACTGCACCCAAGGACCTAGAAGGTCACATGAAGCCTCGAGGCCATATGTTCCCCATCCTTGGCCTAGAATATGCAGGCCTATGTACTGTTGTTCAGTTCTATTTGTTGTCACATTCCTGGGCTTCTAAGGTATCCTCCAAGGGCTTGCCCACTCTGGGTGCCTCTGGCCACAAAGCTTTCTTTCCAAGTCACATGTATTTCCTAACCACTGGTGGGAGGGTCAGTTGGTTTGCCTGGGCTGGCTCTGACTTTGCTGACAGCTCCTCTGGCCTCTGGCTGACTTCTGGCTGACCTCATGCAAGTCTAGGGTAGAAAAAGTCACTTACTCTAATTTCTCTTTAAAGTTCTTGATAGAAATTATTTGGTCAGGTGTGAATTTCAGGTTTTTACTGGAGCAATCATGCTGGAGCTGGGCAGTCTGACTCTGTTTAACTAGACATGTTCTACAAAAGACTCTTAATCATGATTTTAATAATGTTACCAGGCTCTCTCAAGCCTCAGGAAACTCCAATCCATCTGGCTAGCTTCAAAACACCACCAACAGATACACAAAGAGTATCATCTAGAAGAATGCTTAGCAGTATTTTCAGTCTTCAGTGTCACCAAAGGAGCTAAGTCTAATAGATTTAGGTGTCACTAGCATTCCTAAAGTAGAAGAGAACTAAAAAAGGAAGACAGACAAAGGGAAAGTAACTCTAAAAAAAAATAATGGTGAGATAAAAGACAAAAGAAAGAAAGAGAAAGATACTGGTGGTGAAGAAATGGAAAGTATGACAAAGAACATCTCTACCCCATCCATAAGTAGTTATAGGAACTGAAAGAAAAACACAGCATCCAAACAATCTTAGCCATTTTTTGTTCAGAACAAAGTGCATACCTTGGGAAGACCCGAGCACGTAATTCCTTAACAAAAGTTCGTGTCCCAGCTTGTACTGGTTTGGAACCATCATCATTCTCTGTGTAGTCATGTCTGTGCCAATTCCTCCTCTTTTTCACTAGAATTTTTAAAAATAAAAGTATTTTTGATCATTGAGAATCAAACAGTAAACATATCCATGTATATAACATAACCATGAATGATCAGAAGGTATATTATATATGTATATAATATACCTTTTTATATTATACATGTATATATATATATAAAATATACCTTCTGATAATTCATGACTTGCCATGGTCAAACAATGCATCAACTAATGGGCCAGCCTACTAAAAAGGGCTGTACTTTAAGCTGGTCCCCAGTCAAAAACACTTTATCATTAACTTCTTACCTTTTAAAATAAGTAGAATTTACCTGAGTTTGGGCTCCACTACAATAGCCTTTGAGAAGCAAGGATCATTAAAGGCATCAGAACAGGACTTCAATTGCAAATTTGATCATTATGTCCCAGCACATAGTTGGCAATTAATGAATATTTGTTGATAAAATGATAAAATAAAAATTCTAAGACAGTGAAAATCATCATCTGTAAATCTCATTTTGTACAAAATGACATTGAATAGAAATGTTTTTAATGTATTTCTAAGTCTGAAATGTAAATTCGGTTTGACAACATCATCTTGGGCACTTCAGTTTTCTTTCCAATTTCATTTTAAATTCTAAAGCAGAATATGAAGATGAAACAACTGAAATTAGAATACATGATACCTTAGACCAATACTTACCTTCAAAAAGACTATGAGAATTAATGTTATTGGGTCTGAGAGAGTCAGATCATATCACATAATCACTTCTAGTGTATCTTCTAATCTCTCTTTTTAAATCACCAAAAAGCAACCCAAAAAAATTTACCAGAAAAAAAAAGAACATGGTAGTAAAGAATAGTTATGCTAGAGTGGATTACCTCTAAAGACAACATTCAAAATCACCTAAAATAACCATACATGCTAAATGTACCAAGATTATAGCTGAATAACCCCAGTCTGGTCCAATAAGGAAGGAGAGGTCAAACTAGAAAATCTTCAGTGAATAAATATATATGTTCTGACAAAAAAGTAAAACTGAAAATTAATAGGAAAATTGATGCATAAAGGTAGTTTGACATAAGATTTCTAGCAAGAAATAAAGCTTATGCAAAACACAGCAAAAAAAATTAGTAGGGCTTGAGGATATAATTCAAGGTAACTAATAATGGTAGAAAATCTTGCTTCTAATATGTAAGGCAGAATAAGCCTATTTTATCACAGCAGAATAAAAAAAAATGTTGCACATATACAGCACTTTTTGACAACATCTACAGAAAAAAACTCTACTGGCTCTGAAAAACATCTGGTTTTCCCTTTCCTGAGGTCGTTTCACTTCTCCTAACAAATTGTATCTTTGACATCCTACATTTCAGGGAGCTTCTAGCATGTATTAAATTTTAGTAACTAAACATGTAATAAATACCTACTAGGCACTAGGGATACAAAGGCAAAACAAACAATTCTCACCCTCAAGTCACTTAAATCCTCTGGGTAAAAAGGGAGAAATATAGCATATATAGAGATAAATACAAGGTAATCTGAGAAGGGAAAGAGTATTTTTAGAGTGAGTGGATCAAGGAAGGCTTTAATAAGAAGGTGGCACATGAGCTAAGCTTTAAGGAAAACAGGAATCTAAGAGATATAGGTAAGGAGAAGGCATATTCCAAACATCAAGGATATATAGCCTGTACAAAGGCAAGGATATGGTAGATGAAACCTCAAGTTCAGTGAACAGCTAGAAGATCAATTAATCTCGAATACAGAATACATGAAAGAGAGTTAAGATGAAACAAGGCTGGAAAGGTAAGTGGGAATCAAATCGCAGAGAGTTCTCAAAACCACTAGGCTAAGGATATTGTATTTTATCCTACTGGCAATAAGAAACCACTAAGGATTAATGCTTTGGTACTGGTTAAGAAATAAAACGGTGGAAAAAATGAGTAGAAGATCCAGAAGCAAATGAACACAGTAGCCTAGTGTTTGACAAACCCAAAGACCCCTGCTCCTAAGGTAAGAACTCTCTATTCAACAAAAACTGTTGGAAAAACTGCAAAGCAGTCTGACTTTAGGTATAGACCAACATCTCATACCATATACTTAGATAAGCTCTGAATATAAAAGGTGGTATCATAAACAAATAAGAGGAGCAAGGAAGAAATTACATGTTATGACTAACGTGGAAATGTGTGTAATATGATTGTACATGTATAGCCTATATCAGATTGCATGCCATCGTGGGGAGGGGGAAGGGCGGAATTTAGAACTCAAAATCTTATAAAAGTGAATGTTGAAAACTATAAATAAATAAAAATAAGTTACATGTTAGATCTATAGATAGAGAAAGAGTTCATAACCTAATGTGGAATAAAGAAGATCACAGAAGGTGATCTCTTTGGAGTGTAAAACTAGCAGAGGTAATGCAGCATGAAAAGGTATGCACAGTAACATTTTAGGAATAATTCAAAATTCCTTTCTATCATGGCTGGACCAAAGCACAGCTCCACCAACAGTGCATTAATGTACCTGTTTTCCTACTCCCACTCTCACTCCCCAACATTTGTCCTTTTCCTTTTTTCTCAACTTGGCCAACTTGATGGGTGTGAGGGGGTACCTCAGAGTTGTTTTAACTTGTATTTCTCAAACTATTAGTGATTTAGAGCATTTTTCCATATGCCTATTGATAGCTTAGATTGTTTTCCTCTGAAAACTTTCTGTTCATATTCTATGACAATTTATCAATTGGAGAATGGTTTTTATTCTTATAAATTCAAATCAGTTCCTTGTATATTTTAGAAATGAGATTTTTTTCAGAGAAACTTGCTGCAATTTTTTTCCCTATTTATCTGCTCATCTTCCAAGTTTAGCTGCATTAGTTTTGTTTGTGCAAATTTGGTAGAGGATAGTTTACATTTGAACTGAACAAAATGAACAGTCATGTCTTGAAAGAAAGTGAGATTAGAAATAAAAGGGATGGGGGGCAGCTAGGTGGCACTGTGGATAGAGCACCAGCCCTGGATTCAGGAGGACCTGAGTTCAAACCCAGCCTCAGACACATAACACTTACTAGTTGTGTGACCCTGGGCAAGTCACTTAACCCCACTGTCTAGCCAAAAAAAAAAAAAAAGAAAAGAAAAGAAAAGAAAAGAAAAAAAAAGATATAAGAGAGATGGACCGAGAGAAGGGAGAGAGGTAAAAAGACCAGAAGCTTCATGTCTCAAAGCCCTATAAGAATACTAGTAGTCTACTAGTATTAAAAAAGAGAGGCCATGCTTTCTAGAAAAAAATCTAGGGTCATTAAAGGAACCCTGCAGTTTTCCTGAAGACAATACAGCCCATTCTTCTTGTTTAATTCTGGGCCCAATTCATCTGCATTTTTACTGTCTATCTCAGATATATTTGATGATTGACAAGCTTTATAGAATGTTTATTCAAATGAATATCATAATCTGCATAAGAGACATTCTTTAGCCACTTGATTTTTCCTCAGTTGATGGTTTAGCCAAATTATTTTGAGTTACTCCAAATATGTTTCAGGAGATATTTAGGGGCATAATGAAATGCATGTCAACGTATATAAACAATCATAGATTTAGAGGTGGATGGGACCTTAGAGATCATCAATTCCAATCCCCTCAGTTGACTGATGAGGAAACTGAGGCACAGAGGTTTAAAAGACTTGCCCAGGGTCACATCGCAACTAAGTGTTTAACAAAGAATTTGAAACTCAGTCTTGTTGCATCCAAGCCTAGCACCCTAACCACTATACAACAATGCCTCTCAGATGAAGAAACATCACTGAGGGACACCGTAACATAGTAGGAAGAACATGGAATCTAGAATCTAAAGAACCTCAACATGCACAGGGAATCCTCCAACTTGGACTCTGCTGGATTGCGTCATAACAGTGGTAAAATCTTAGAGAGCACACTTCTCCCTACTTTATGCTCTCCCTTATGTTTATAATCAGATGGTAGAATACATTTATTTCTGTTGTTATATCTTTCAAGAAATCCTGAACTGTTTTGAAGTATGAATGGGAGGGTACGTTGTTGGAAGAGAGCCTTTAAGGTAACGGCTTGCTCTCCCAAATCAAGTGTTTTTTAAACAGTAAACAAACAATAAGCACAATGTATTCTCTACATCTTTTAGTCAATTAAGTGGTAAAGATGTAATTTCCTGTGGAGTATCCCTTGCAAAAGCCTACCTGGTTATTTACTAATACCCTCAGTAAAGATGTCCTTTGTGAGTAAAGATGCTTCTCATAAAAAAAACTTTATAAACACACACAGGAAAGCAAGCATGTAGATCAGTAGTTGTTGATGCTCTTTCCGTTGACTTTTTCAGTATTATTAAGGTCCACAATTTCATGTTAATTTGAAATTAACTTAATTTTGCTCCTAAACATTAACAAATCACAACAGAATTTGCATATTTAAAAAAAATACAATCAACCTTTCCTTAATACAAATATCCTGCTGGATACATACATAAATAAAGATAAAAGCAGCAAGCAGAAGACACAGAGAATAGAGATGGGGTCACTGAGGAAACTCTGGTATGTCCGGGAATTTAAAACGTTCAGTATTGTCCTCTACAAAGAGGAACACCTGGAGTCAACTATTTGGGATTTCCTCTTATTTTAGGACTTTACACAGGGACATCTTCCATGAAACCAGTAAATATCTTTTAGCAAGCGTATGTCATTGTTTTTTGTCTTTATTAGATGCTAATCTTCAAAAGGATCACTGCACAATTTACAAGTGAATACAGCTTTAAAAAGCAGAGGGGTGCAGCTTTGGTTGCAGTTTGGCAAATGCTCCAAAGCAGACATCTGATAGGCCGAAATGTGAATTAATTAGGTACCATGCTGTCCGAAGAGCACCTAACAAATAAGAAAATTCTAGGTACAATAATGATGTAGTAACACCAAGAAAAGAAATAAGGAGGAAGTTCCCCAGTGGGACAACTAAAATCTTTTTTAACAGTAGACAGAACAGAAGCAAGGAGGACAGAGTAAAAGCTTATT